CTACAAAACTAGCCTTTATTTTTTATTTATTTATTGATTTATTTTATTCACATAATGCCACAGAAAGCTTCACATATGACGTTTCAGCTCTGGAGGTTCAGAATCTTACTAGAATGGTTATTTTTCGTTGGGCTGTTCAACGCAGCAGCTGCTCAACCATTCATGGGATTTTTTCACCACAGTGAGCCTTTTTTAACCATTGCTGAGAGTACCGCTTAAAGTTGGCGTCTTTCTTCACAAATTAAACTAAGTTAACAAACGTTCAAAGGCTCATCTTCCTATTTTTCTCTTTTTTCCTATATGTGATTTCCTAACCATAAATGGAGCTTTGACAGCGGTATTGCTTTTTAATCATCGTTGAACGAGCGCATTTTGGCTTATAGGGGAGGTTGCACTCTCGCTCCCCCCTCCCCCCCCCCCATTGAAGGCAAAGCCCGCGATCATTCGCCATCACAGATAGTGGATTAGGGTTCGCATATAGACGACAAGGTTCTGAGTAACTCGATAGTGAAGAAAAAAGCAGAAAAAAACATGCCACCTGCCCTAGATAGAACCCCATTTCGATCCCAGTTTGTACGTGCCCAATTAACTCCATCTCCAACAACTACGCCCTCATATGCACAGCTGATTCCCCGGAGAAACTCTACGACCGTACAGGTGACGATTTTCATGCTTTTTCGTCCTGCAGCTTCGTTTTTCACTGAAAGGCGGCCTTGAAGGCGGAGTCTGGAGGCGGAGTCACTGGAAAAAGGAGGCGTCACTGAACCTATATTGCGCTATAGCGCCCCTCCCTTACAATTTTTTGCCGCGAAACCGGTACAAGGTTGTTCGTCGCGGGCCACACTACCCTCCCGACGCCATAATGCCATAATTTCACCTTCTATACTCGATCGCGGAGCGTGCTTCGAAGGGATGAGCCGTCATGGAGTCATCTATGAATTCTTGTAAAGCCGCGAAGTACTACCAGCTGAAGATTATAAAGACCAGTTCACGCTTCTAGTCTCTACTAGCCCCCTTACCATAGAGCCGGACTGCGTTGTCTTCGTCACGTTGGTGCTTCGTAAACATGAATCCTTCATAAACACAAGAACCACCTGAAGCTTTTGTAGGTCATAGGTGCCTGGGTTTCAGAAGCCCTCCATGTGAGCGCCGGTTGGGAGATCTATAGCTGTGCGGCGATAACGAATTCACAAGTTGCATTGCTGTAGCGGTACTCGCACCAGACCTGGATTTATCGTGAAGCGCGAACAGTATTTCGAGCCCAACTACTAGGAATACTATTCTGTGAACGCGCTGCCGGGCTTAGGTCGCGCAAAACAAACACCCTTAGCCATAGTAAAGTCATTGCTGCTCTAATTGAATAGGCTTGACTGCGGAGCAAGTTATTTCTGGCAGCACTTATTTATCTACCCCCTTGTACAGATAAATGTGTTGCGATTTTCCCGCGTCAAATTTTTTTTTTTTTTTTTTATTTATTTCTTCATTTCCTATCATAAAGTATTTTCCTCTCTAATTTTATCGTAACAAGAAGATGGTAATCTGTAAAGCTACCGAACACGTAGCCACTGTGGATATTGTTTTCTCAAGAAATTATCGCTGATTTCAGGACCTCCACCATTTGGACGCTACGGCGGTTGGCCTCCTCCACCTTGGCGTAGACCGTGGCGTATACCACCACCACCTTTTCCACCGCCAGGTATGCCTCCACCATGGGGACCGCCTCCTCCACCTTGGCGTAGACCGCGGCTTCCACCACCACCATTTCATTCCACCGCCAATGCCACCGCCCCTCCTGCCCCCACCAGTTTTTTCCTTCCTCCTGAGGAACCAGTACTGGATCAACCGACGCCTATTTTTGTCCCTCCAGATGAGCAACGGATCGATCCGCCGGCACCAGCTCCTACTACTCCTCCACCACCGCTGTTTGGCAGCCCAGAAATACAGAGGGTTGGTGATATTTTGTTTTGAATTTCGTATATTATATTTCAAATTTTTTTGTCTGTGTTCTGCGTGTGTTTACCAGTTTGTATCTGCAAGTTTTCTTTTGCAGCTTGTTGATAGCCTCAATGCTCATACCACCGCTTTTTCAAAACCCGGCCAAGGTTACGAAAACGTGATTTATATCCTGAAGAGGCATATGGAGCGTAGATCACGACGTCAGTACGTGAGTATTATTCAACAATTCTCTCAAGGGGGGCAGCTTGCCTTTTCTCATAGAAGAAACGCAGCACCTCGTGGCTGATCAATACAGCTACGAAATAATGTCCAGTTATGTTTACATAAAGAGCGGTGTTTTAAAGGATCCTGGAAAAACTGAATATTCGTCCAACTGGCATGCGAAATGAACTCAGTTCTAACCAGAAGGTGGGCATTTTACTCAACCATGAGCCGATCTACTTATTCGACGGAATTGATGTTCAGGTAGCTGGTGCCATGTATGAAGTCGACATGGCGCTGACCGTACCTCAAGCTTCTCAACTAACTGCTCAAGGACGTATTAAGCGAAAGATTATAGCAGATGTCCAATGCAAGATGGAAGTCGACGACCCACCATTTCTTATAGATTGGGCGATCAATGACGGTGAGTAAAGTCTTTTGCTGGCGATGGCTGGGGGGCGTGTCAGGGGGTTGGGTATGGCGCGACGCCGACCCGTTCTACCTCATGTAGAAGCTGGCAAGTGAGAATAGTTGAAGGGGAAACGAGATGGCGCCTCTACCAGTCTCCCCCTGCCACGCCTCAGCATCCATCGCAAACAAGACTGTGCATCAATAGCATAAGGGACATAAGGTCATATTCTGTTGACTCTCAGGCTCGGGATGCAGTTTCTGAAGCTAACTAAAATTGCAGAAGGTTCTAAAAGACCATAGCTGTACTGGAAGGCGGCTCTTCCCACCTGCAGCTGCCCGGTAAAAGCGGCAGGTGGGAAGAGCGGCTTCTCAGTAGTGATCAGTTCCCGGCTGGGCGCTGCTTAGTTGTAGGAGGGTGGTGGTAGGGAAGGAACGTCCAGTAAGTTATAATTGCTGAGTTCCTCTGTGTGCGCTCTTCATTGCAAAAATCTTCACACAGGGCTTGTCCGGGTGCCCAGTTTCCTTTTTTACCAAGCATCTTTATCCGAAACGCCTAGTCAACTTGTCCTGGCCCACCAATATTGAAAACAAACTGCCTACCACACATTTTCTGCCCACGATGGACCCCCATTACACGCTCCACCCCCCAGATAACTCCGCCCCTTTTTGTCGCGACACATTCTACATTCACATTTTACACTATATATAGTTGTTATACCGATTTTTCACACTTTTTTTATTACACACATAGACCCTTGAATACACTTTCACTATGTAGTACACTTGACTCCGCCCCCGACGACTCCGCCCACTTATTAATGGATTTACTAAAAAAATTCGCCACTTTATAACTTTATTCCGTGACGTCCGATTTTAGTTATCCTTTCACATCTATATTCTACACTCACTCACTCACCTACGAGGACGGTCCTTGTTATGTGTGAGGTGATTGGGTTCGCAGTTGCACTATCTTGGCACTTTTTCCGATCAAAAGTACACGAGAACGAAACTGGAGGGTAGTGGTACTGTGGCGCTATCACCATACCCAGCCTGCGCTATCCTCAAGGTGCCGCACTCGCACCGACATCAGAATTCCGCAGCGAGTACGCAGTCAGGGGTTAAAAAACACCCAGAAATGAGACTAGTAGCGGGTTTGGCTACGGTGGGACTATGGGGAGCAAATGAATTTTCTCATCTCCTCCGCCTTCAGATAATACCCAACTCTTAACCGATTTCAGATGTTTGGCAATCACGTATTCGTTCGGTTATGAGGAAATTCAGCCAGAACACATGCTTACGATTTGTGGAGAGAACCGATACTGACTATCTCCTCTTCAATCAAGGTGAAGGGTAAGCGTTTTATCCATTGCTCTTATTTGAGGTTCTCTTCATTATTCGAAATATATTGGTTGCT